CAAGAAGGTGCTCATTATCAAACTGATCTCCTTTTTACATTTTACAAATTAATTGCTGATTATTAAAAACGTCTAATTACATAAACACACTAATGAAATAAAATACATGTTAATTAGCATGAAATTTGTTTGTGGTGTAAGTTCGAGTAATATATTCGGGTAAAATTAATTTTAAAGATGACCAAAGAACCGGGCCCCGCTAACTGCAGTAACGGCAGAAAATGCATGGACTACTGAAATGTTGGTGCGAGAAGACCCACGAATTACATATACGGACATCGAAAAGATTGTAGGCATTAGTTCGGGGAGCATTCATACCATCCTACATCAACATCTTGGTGTGAGGAAGCTTTGTTGTCGATGGATTCCTCGTTTGCTATGCGAAAGCGAAAAACAGACTCCTGTCGATTGGTGGCATGAAATGCGTCTACGTTTTGAAAACATCTAGGGGCATCTACGCGTGTTTCAGAAAGTTACTGGCGACGAGACATAGATCTACCAATATGATCCGGAAAATAAAAGGCAATTATCGGTATGGGTCTACTCAAAAGGACAGTTACTGACAAAACTGCAAAGACCTCGCAACGTCGGCAAAAAATTGGTGGCTATTTTTTTCACGGAGCGGACATTTGTCGACGTCAATGCTGGAAAATTGTAGGTCAGTCAACTCTGAATGGTATACTACAGTTGCATTTCTCAAAGCTTTTCAAGCTGTGCGAGAGAGAAGACCAAAGACCGGGCTTCGGGGAATCATGCAGCCTCACGATAACGCCTCTCACATACTGAAGTTAGAAAATTTGGAACAATAGTCTTAGTGGTATACATTTTTAAAGGCAAATTGTAAATTTAAATTATAATTTTTTTATAAATATATTTTGTACGTGCAAATACGATTGTTATCGTTGAGAAATAATAGCTTTTTAAAATAAACATTATTAAAAAATACGACTATTTTATTATGTCATGTTGCATTTTTTTATGGATTACCCTTTTATGGATTTTCGTGCATATTTTGGAAATTTTTCTTGCATATTTGCATGCATATTTTGGGTTTTTCATTTGCATATAATCCGGTTTTACTTTCTATTCTCATTCATTCTCATTCATTATGTATTCTCTCATGACTATTTTATTACTTAGTGTGCTTATTACTTATAAACACACTAACTAATAAAATAGTGAGAGAATACAAAATTAAAATAAAGAGACTGTATGTTAATAAAAATATAAATATCAATAAAAAATAAAATATAAGTCCGTGAGTTCTTGTTTCTTTTTTTGGTTATTGTTTCAACGTTTTCTAACGACTTCAAAAAGGAGTAGGTACTCAATTCGATTGTATTTTTTTATGTGTGTTACCTCATAACTTTGTTCTACGTGAACCGATTTCGATGATTCTTTTTTTATTTGAAAGCTGGTGCTTTTCAAGTGGTCCCATATAAATGTCTGATCAATAGTTTTTAAGTAATCATTAATATTATATATAAGTATTGAAGTCAGTTGTACAAAATTTTTAATTCTAAATTATATTTATTGGACGTAGACGACAGTTAAGTAGACTCGGCGAGCATTTGCAGATTACCGCTAAACGTAAATATAAATTATCTATCAGATTAAAATGATATGTATGAATAAACTTTTAGTGAGCCACGGTAGCTCAGAGGCCAAGCATCATTATTATCATCATTACAGCCCTTCACAAATCTACTGTGGAACATAGGCCTCCAGAGTCAGTAAGCAGCCATTGCAATATCGATATATTATGCAGGCAACGTTACACAGGGCTGCAGGTGCCCCCTTGCCTCTGAAACACTCGTATAATGCCTAGGTCAAAAATGCATCCAATGTTAATAATAATAGCTAATAAAGTCTGTTTTTAATCTATATAAATGACCTTCCTTTCTATACTAACACCTTATGTGAAACAGTATTGTTTGCTGATGAAACCTCCATAGTATTTGAAATTGATGAAGGTAAAACCAGAAAAACCTGTACAGATGGAAATTTGTACACGAAAGGATCGAGACACGAGAAAAAGTGTTTTATTTTGTCACAAAATAAAACACTTTTTCTCGTGGCTCACTCTTGATAAATCGGGATGTAACATTACAACTCAGGGGAACTCAGGCGAGCATCAACAACCTCGAGGGAAGCCAGCCGAACAAGATAGGTAATGAAAAGACCAGGCTTGTCTATAGGTAGTGGTCATGCTAACGAGGTAGTCGTTGATCTAGTGGTGGTAAGCACGATTGCTGGTCATGTGATTCCTGGTTCGACTTCAAGCTAGGGGCAAAATCAGTTATTGTTTTTTTTTTCTCAAGTAATTCTCAGTGTCAGGTGTTTTAGTCTCATGTCTCGGAAAGCACGTAAAAACGTTGGTCCTGCCCCTCTACTCCAGTCGTATTGGACTGCCGTCCCATGAGAATGAGGGAATAGAGAGTGCATTATAGACATAAAAATGTCGAAGGGAAAAGACACCTATTATAAATGTAGGTGCAATAGTATCAAACTGAAAACTGAGTGAAACATATAACAAATCATTTTTAAATTATATAGGGATATTTTTTGAAATTCTTCACCACCAAATGTTTTTTTTTCCAAATTTCTCATCATTTATCATGAACATATGACTCAGGCCCGGGTGCAGATTGTAAGATTGTTTTTATGGTAAAGAGGCATTCCATCTTATTCCTCCGGGATGAAAACGCATCTGCATTTTGATTAATCGAGAATGAAATGAATGAAAATCCCGTTATAAATTTTTAAATTCTCTATTTTGTGATTTAAAAATATCAAGTAACAAACTCTAACAAAACAGTGGTGGAGAGTTAACTAATAAGTATAATGGAAACAACCCACTTTATATGGCAGATTTAAATAGCAGATCCACGCTGCTGTGTTTCGTTTGGTGATCGTAGAGGACTGGATACCTTTTTTAACTGAAAATGAGGCATCTCATCTTAGCCCTCAGGGGCGACAACGCATCTGCATTTCAACTTTTAATCGAGAATAGATGTAAATATTTATGGGTCACAGCATCCACTTAACATCAGGTGAACTGTGTGCTCGTTTGTCATTCTTATTCTAAAAAAACACATAACAATGACAACAAAGGTGTCAATGATGGTAAGTGGATGCTGTGGCTCATAGACAGCTATATATTTATCCTCAATTAAAAACCAAAATGCATATGTGTTGTTACACTTGAGAACTAAGATGAATGCCTCATTTCCAGTAAAAAGGGTCTCCGGTTCTTTACACTCACCACACGAAACACCATAAAAGCTGGAAGATGTTAGTGCTCTTTTACACTGTCTCTGTTCGTGTAAAAGAGCACTAACATTTACACTGCAGTTTTTTAGAGAAGAGAGGACAAACGAGCATGCAGCTCACCCGTTGGTAAGTGACGACCGTCGCCCATGAACAACAGCTTCACAAGGGGATTGCAGGTGCATCACCGGGGCCTTTTTGAAAAGTAAAAGTTCGTTTCTTGAAGGTCCCTAAGTCGTATCAGCCCGGAAAAATCGACCGTGGTAAACAATTTCACAAAGAAGTCATGCGTGGAAGTAAACTCCTAGTAAATCGCACAGTGGTGGACCGCCAAGCATCCAGATAATATAGTTGGTATCGTGAAATTTGTCGCGATGTGCTTTATTGAAATTTGGCAGTGGTAATTAAACCGAACAATTCCCCAGAGCTGCCCACTGCCCAAAATTCAAAAGAATGCAACATCGTAGTGCCAGTGAGACCACGTGAGGCCGAACCTGTACCTTGTAAAGATGGAAGCGTTGAGCCGGCATGAAATTCTGTCCCACTCAACTGAACATTGACACAGAACTGAAACTGCACGTCATTCGATTAGCCTGGGATTCCGATGCTGGCTGAGGCATCAAGAGGAATGTCCTGAAATTGAAGAGATACGACACAAGAGTTCTTTTTAGCGTTAAACGTGCAAACCTGTGCCTCCTGGGTGTTAACTTGACTAGAAATAATTTTCCCCAATCCGAGACTTTATTTTAACAAAGACTCGACACAAAAGTTTGTTCTGGTACTGAACGACGTATTCCCCAAAAATATTAGCACGGCAGGTGTAAAAAGCATCAACAGTGCTGTCGTTCACATAGCAATAAATGTGACTGTTTGCAACATATAATTGATATGCAGAAGGTACAGGTCGGTAATAACACGTAGGATTGTGAAACACTAGGATTAATAGTCTTGTATCTTTAATTCTTTAATTATCTTGTGTAATCAGAGCATACACCGTTTTACTACAACCTTGATCCACCGATCTGAAAGAAGACTGTTGATCCATTTGTACAATTTCTCGGGAAGCCCATAGAAGATGCGCTTTGTGTTAAACCCGGTCGAAAATCTTCTCGCAGACCAAAGTTTTATTAAGTATCTTTCGTGCTTTTAGTACTTACTAGCTGATACTCCCGACATCGTCCGCCTTGGTTGATATATTAACAAAGTTTTCGTAAGTGCGAAGGAAAAAACATCAAAATGACAAAATTTCCTTGTAAACAATGTTATTCGTTGCTCCATTTGTACATAAAATAATATAATATTATCTGGGTTAGTAACGCGAGAGCAAGCGACGTACAGTTGGCTGTGTGTAAAACTCCGTATAAAATCGTTGTTTCTTAAAACTTTAATAACTTTATATTAAATGAAAATATCGCAATAATATTTTTTAGACAAGGGTCAAGGGTCTAAGAAATGAAACTTAGAAAACTTAATTTAATTATATCGAGTGCTATCTCCGTGATGCGCGTACAACTGCAAACCTCTATCATTTTATTTATATAGATTAGATTTTAAACAATTTGTACTCCAACGAAAAACTCATTTATAAATAAAGTATTATTCTAAAACTTTTTACTTATTGTATCTTTCACTAATAAAAAAATTACCGCTCTAATTTGTATAATTTAGCGAGTCGTAACAAGACTGCTGTTATGAACGTAGGCGTCCGCTTAATTTACGGATTACAAAGCATACATGTCAATCCATCCGTGGAAACGAGATAGCAGACAAAACCGGAGTGCAGTCGGATCGAATAATTAGTGTAGTATAAAATGGCAAGTTTTTGACAACCAAAACACAGTGCACTTCTATTGCTTATTGGATTACCTTGTCGGCAATATGAACAAATATTTGGCGGTAATTATCAAAAGTTTTAGTTTTGGAGTTTGGTCTAACAGTGTATCATCAACTACCTCCTGACTACAATAAGTTTAATAGCAAAATCTTTTTTATACGTGTTATAAGTGAATATTTTACCTAAAATTTGCCGATGTCAGATTAATTTAATATTTACCCTTTTTGTCGAATAAAAATGGACAAAATCTTCATAATATTACCTAATTCCTCAAAACTTGAAAACGAGATTGTATAACCAGTGCTTGTTGCCAGTGATGGCTTATGGAACTGAGACGTGGTCCTTCGCTACTAGCTGTATGAGGAAGCTCAAGATCGCTCAGCGAGCTATGGCGAGGGCTATGCTCGGGGTTTCTCTGTCTGATAATCATACAAATAAAAACATCCACAGTAGAAACAGAGTAACCGACATAGCACAACGGACTACTAAGCTGAAGTGGCAATGGACCGGCCATATAGCTCGAAGAACCGACATTCAATGGGGAAGAAAGGTTCTCGAGTGGCAACCTCGTGCCGATAGGCGAAATGTAAGACATACAGGAAGTCGATGGATGCAGGAGGCTTGGAACCGTGCTTTGTGGCATTCCTTGAGGGAGGCCTATGTTCAGCAGTGGACTTGTGAAGGACTGTAATGATGATTATGACAGATTCAAATGAAATCTTAGGTTTTTTTAATTAAAACTAATTTTACGGATTTTATCGCGTATATTAACTTATTTTTATATTCCCGACGTTTCGGGTGCTTTCCAGCACCCGTGGTCACGGGGGACTGAGGTGTTTGACGTCCTGCTGTCATAGTTAGCCCGGCTACCTTCAGTTTTTTAATATTAATTTTTGGTTCGATTTACGCAGAATGAGCTTACAGTATCTTGAAGTCTAGCAGTGGTGTCTAGCGTGAATCAAACCAAAAATTAATATTAAAAAACTGAAGGTAGCCGGGCTAACCTATGACAGCAGGACGTCAAACACCTCAGTCCCCCGTGACCACGGGTGCTGGAAAGCACCCGAAACGTCGGAAATATAAAAATAAGTTAATATACGCGATAAAATCCGTAAAATTAGTTTTAATTAAAAATGTGTAGTGTTCGCGTAAATATAAGAAATCATTATGAAATCTTAGGTTAATAGGTTCAAGCATAAGTTACAATTGTAATTTTACTTCAAATATCAATCTTTAGTTGTTTTATGGGCCATGCACACAAGACAACAATAAAACACCATAGTATTATATTGTTCATAGTTAATATCATTAATTATGAACAATATATTAATTAAAAAACTTGTTTTATGTTTCAGGTATGTTGCCTTCTGGCGTTAACTGCAGCGTCATCAGCATACCCGTCGACACTCGGTGTCATGAATATTGCAACAATCGAAAAAATTGTACGTTATACAAACAATTCCGCGTAACTACTAGTGCACAGACTGTTCACATCGAATACGCTAAATTAATGACAATATACGAGCTCTGTGTTGAATATGTAATAAAATTGTTTTCCTTTTAGCCGGATCCGAGTTACGCGTTCAACTACGCAGTCAACGATCCCTCTACCGGTGACAACAAGGCGCAATGGGAGAGCCGTCTTGGCGATGTAGTCAAAGGTGCTTACTCACTTGTGGAGCCCGACGGCAACGTACGAATGGTCGAGTACACTGCCGACCCCGTCCGCGGATTTAACGCTGTCGTCAAACGAACTCAACCCAATGTACACCCAGTATCGGCTGTGTATCAACAAATTACACAGGTGGAGCACGAGCACATTGAAGCTCCTATTTACGAACCGCCGCAGGAGCAATTAGCCCCACTTGACCAAGTTGAACACCAAGCTCCACAATTTGAACACATAGCTTCACATATAGAACACATAGCTCCACAAGTAGAACACATAGCTCCGCAAGTTGAACACATAGCTCCGCAAGTTGAACACGTAGCTCCATTGTCGCATGATATGTTCAATATGGCCCCATTAAATTCTATCGTGAACGTGGAGCACGACGCACAAATTGCTCCACTTGCCCCGATAGCTCATGAGCCTTACGCACACGAACCGACACTCCCCATTATGGAGAGTGCTCCGCTCTACGCGCAATATCCAACGATCCACTACCTTCCTTATCCAATACATCTACCACAACATACTCCTTGGGTTACGTTGTCCGGTACCTCGTACGGTCACAAGGGCAAAGTTTTACGTAGATGGAACGCGGGGCCCATCTCCCTTGATGGCAAGACGTTGACCATCAGAACTAAACATTAAGAACTCATTTCCGTGTGCCACATAACAGTAAGCTATAAAAACTTCTATATGTATAGGTAACCTTTTAGTTACTCATGACACTTGTGTGTTTTGCACATTGTATATTTTTTGCACGTGTAAAAGTACACATAGGTCTTGATAGAAGTTAAGAATAAGGTAAATCCAGAGCTAAGAAGTGTACCTGATATAAAACCATTATACGACTGTGAATAAAAATAATTAACGTTCGAAATTTTTGTATTTTATTTGTCATCTAGTGTCCCATAATGTTATATTAAAAGTAATAATTAAAATACCTAGGACCTTTCAAAAGCAAGCAAATTTATAATTTTTGGCCGCTGTTTTTGAATGATTCAAAACAACTTAGGATCGATCGGCTTAAAATATTGTACTGTACTTTGTTTAAAATACTTTAACTCAAAATGTGAAACTATATAGACTAATCTAAAACCAAACTCGAAACTTCAAATTAATTATTTGTTCATTGATCAACGACTATTTTAGTTAAAAAACACATTTTCTAAGCTCATCTAATGATTACCATTTTTTTTCCTCTCATTTATTCGTATACTGCGTATTAAATTTATTACTGCCGAGTATAAAACTAGACTGTGATGGACAAGTAAATCTATTCAAAAACGTCGAACGCCAATCTCACAGGACGGGCGATCGGCAGAACATCGTTTTAAAGTTCTGCCCATCGCCAAATTTTCTAGTTGGAGAAATCTTGAATTATTTATATCAGTGAAAATAAATAAAAAAGGATTGTTAAGTGCAAAAATTCAAAAAAAGTTCAATGCGTTTTTATACAAAATACGTTGAAGTAGCTAATGCTATAATACGAGTATTTAAAAAAATATAAATAAAATATAAGATAAATATAAAAATAATTTAAATATATGTAATATTAAAATAGATGTGTGAAAAATTATTAAATAATTATAGCTTTTAACTAGAAGCCTACTTCAAAAAGAAGTTATTTATATATATAGGGTAGCAACCTTGGGGGTGGATTTTTTTTTTCAAAGTTATATGGGACCACCCTTGAGGTAAAGCATATTTAATTAAAAAAAATCATTAAAATCGTTCAAAATCTGCGAATACATCGCGTAACATACATACAAAAACACATACTCCAATTGAGAACTTCCTCGTTATTGAAGTCGGTTAAAATAGATTTTTTTTTATAGAATAAGGGTGACAAACAAGCACACAGTCCACCTGATGGTAAGTGGTTGCTGTGGCCCATAGACATCTATATCTATCTTCGTTTGCGAATTAAAATGTAGATGCGTTGTCAGCCGTGAGGACTAAGATAGAATGCCTTTTTCCAGTAAAAAGGGTCTACGGTTCACCATACTCACCATACGAAACACAGCAGAGTTAAACCGCTATTTTACGCTGGTATTCTATGAGAGCGTGGTCCTTCCCCGGTCGAGCCGACCCATTCGTGCAATTAATAAAACAACTATAAACAACACAACACACAACTATAAAATTTATTAATTAACCTCAAAATAAAAATTATTTAATAATTATTTAAATACAAGATAATTAAATATTACTTACAGGATTGTTATCTTCGTCCACATCGTATTCCTCTCTCTGTACCATCATTAGTTTTCCGCTAGCATTAATTACCTGTAAAATGTTAAGATTTAAGATGTTTACGAAATGCAACCAACAAAATCCGGCTCGGAGGACCACAAAAACGTTAAAGTTACAACCTAAATACATCCAACTGATGGGCACAGGCCTCCTCTGATTTCTGAGAGGGTTTTAGGGCAAGGACACCTCGCTGCCCCAAGGCGTATTGGTGAACTTCACATGTCTTCGAAATATTTATTTTTTCGTATTTCTCAGACATGCAGGTTTCTTCACGATGTTTTCCTTTACCATCGAGCACCGGGGTATATCAGCACTTAAAATTGCAATTGGTTCGAACTCGGGTTGCTCACGTACTGTTAAATTTACATCAAGTGCTTAGCCCCTAAGGTACCACGACTCTTGAAGACAAGTTAATATCTTATATCACTGGGCTTTTCAGTACGAGGGTGAAACATAAAACCCTATTTTTCAAATTGTTGGTCGGTTCTTTGAGCCATTGCCATTTGAGTTTACTGATCCATTGATCAGTGCTGGTGCTTATTTATTTAATAATTTATGTACATGACGGCGGTGTCCTCATACGCAGGTATAGCAAAAATTGTAAAAAAAACACGTGCACCAATCACGCCACCCGGCGCACCACTCGATTTCCTCCACCGTCCCACTACTCGACTTGTTTTCGAACTTGTATGCAAGTAGTTTTGGCTCTGGCGTGGTTGTACCAAGCTAGCCTATCCTAGGCGCTCACGGATAATTAATTTGAAATAAATTATTATCATTAATTATAAAAGTGACACATCACATGATGAGGACAAGGGCACAACTTATTTCGTGGTGAAAATTTTTCCAGTAGGTCAATTACAAAGATATATGATAAATAAAAGATAACGTGTGTATTTTACAGCAGATTAGCGCAGATATGTCCACGGGCTGCACGCACCGCATCTCTATGTGCAGTACTGACCAGCGAGTCGGGCGCGAGCGGGCTGGCTGCGGGCGCGCGCGCGAGGTGCGGCGGGCCGGGCTGCTCCTGCAGCCGGCACAGCGCCGCCGACACCACGCACGCGGGGTGCGACAGCGCAGATATGTCCACGGCCTGCACGCACCGCATCTCTATGTGCAGTACTGACCAGCGAGTCGGGCGCGAGCGGGCTGGCTGCGGGCGCGCGCGCGAGGTGCGGCGGGCCGGGCTGCTCCTGCAGCCGGCACAGCGCCGCCGACACCACGCACGCGGGGTGCGACAGCGCAGATATGTCCACGGCCTGCACGCACCGCATCTCTATGTGCAGTACTGACCAGCGAGTCGGGCGCGAGCGGGCTGGCTGCGGGCGCGCGCGCGAGGTGCGGCGGGCCGGGCTGCTCCTGCAGCCGGCACAGCGCCGCCGACACCACGCACGCGGGGTGCGACAGCGCAGATATGTCCACGGCCTGCACGCACCGCATCTCTATGTGCAGTACTGACCAGCGAGTCGGGCGCGAGCGGGCTGGCTGCGGGCGCGCGCGCGAGGTGCGGCGGGCCGGGCTGCTCCTGCAGCCGGCACAGCGCCGCCGACACCACGCACGCGGGGTGCGACAGCGCAGATATGTCCACGGCCTGCACGCACCGCATCTCTATGTGCAGTACTGACCAGCGAGTCGGGCGCGAGCGGGCTGGCTGCGGGCGCGCGCGCGAGGTGCGGCGGGCCGGGCTGCTCCTGCAGCCGGCACAGCGCCGCCGACACCACGCACGCGGGGTGCGACAGCGCAGATATGTCCACGGGCTGCACGCACCGCATCTCTATGTGCAGTACTGACCAGCGAGTCGGGCGCGAGCGGGCTGGCTGCGGGCGCGCGCGCGAGGTGCGGCGGGCCGGGCTGCTCCTGCAGCCGGCACAGCGCCGCCGACACCACGCACGCGGGGTGCGACAGCGCAGATATGTCCACGGGCTGCACGCACCGCATCTCTATGTGCAGTACTGACCAGCGAGTCGGGCGCGAGCGGGCTGGCTGCGGGCGCGCGCGCGAGGTGCGGCGGGCCGGGCTGCTCCTGCAGCCGGCACAGCGCCGCCGACACCACGCACGCGGGGTGCGACAGCGCAGATATGTCCACGGCCTGCACGCACCGCATCTCTACGCCGCCGTCTGCATCGGAAACATTTTGTTATAGTGCTAGTACAGCAACATCTAAATCAAAATAAATGTCAACGATAATATATCAAAAAGATTTTGTCAACTATTATAAACCAGTGTTTAATAGCTGCCTACTGCTGTTTAATACAACATGATTTAAATGACAATGCAGCAGAAATTAGTTATTCTGCAAACCCTACATTAAAAAAAGATAATGTCAACAAATATTTATAAAATTTCCTGTTGTTCTATCATAATCCTCCTCAAACCAGTGATAATTTTATAACGTTTAAGTTATCTTATTTCTCTCATTTTTCTATTTTCTTTACTATTTTCTTATATTCTGAAGTTTTATATGCTGCTTTTTATGTCCTTTGCTGCACGCCTGAGTGCTGAGCCTACTGAAGCGTTTTACATTTTTATGTCATAGTTAACCCGATTTATATCGACCGTTTAATTATTGATTTTAGTCAGATCCACACATACTGGACATACTGTATTAAAGTCTTGGAGTAATATGCTTAAGTTTTGTTTGATTTTTATTAATTACAGGACCTTGAATAGAGTATTCACTGACTACTAAGAGGATACTACGCATCAGACAGGAATCTTAGAATAACCAATACGAATTCGATAGTTTAGAGTTTGACATTTATTTACTTATTAATTCTTTAGGCATGTGGCAAAAGTAGGCCATTGATAAAGTATACGTTCATCTCACAGCTATACACAATTTAAAACATAATTTTTAAATCATCTTTAAGACTAAATTTATAGTACAAAAATAAAACTACTTTTATTTTATTTATTCAAGTTTTTATTTCTTTTAATAAATTTTATATGCTTTATCTTGCATTTGCAGTAATTTTTTATCTAATTTTAATGTAACAACATCCAATCCTTGTCGTATTCTATTAATTTCATTACACCATTATTACACCATTATTTTTATGTTCTAATTTTCTTATAAAATTTGTCCATAAGGCTTCATGCCTTTGAGTTGATTACAGCTTGGCTTGAGGGTTTCCCTTTGTTTTTCCGGCTAAGAGCTGCTCCATTACACAAATCAATTAAGTCCTCAAAAATGACACAACTTCTGATGTGTTATTTAAAGTTGAGCTTACGGCTTTTTCCATCAGCATAGTGGGCTGTAAAATTAAAATAAATAATAAGTAATTCTATTGTATTGCTATTCACATTATGTTAGTCATGACAAACCCTAAGTTATTAAAATAAATTCAAAATATTATTGTCTTTACGATATAATTTTATCTATTTCTCTTTTATTCTTATATTCTACATAGCTTATATGTATTTGTGCAGACACGTTGTGTTTAAATAAAAATAATCCCCTTCACCTTGGTTTTGCTTGGAACAGATCACCGTTTAGCATTAGTGCCAGCTAATTGCACATTTATCGGTAGCGAAGGCTCCATAGAAGCCGAGAAGCCGGACTTGCCCTATCAAACTGCTCAATCAATAATATCAACTAATAAAATAACTCGTAAACTGTTTCAAACTATTTCAAATTTCCCGCGCGCTCCTCTGTTCTACACAGGTCATTAATCGTCGCGGAAAAACTGCGCGATACTGCTGTCATAAAAAAGGAGTTGAGTTGAGCGATTAGTCCTCTTTCTTGCACGCGTGGGCTTTTTACTGGGCTTTCGAGAAGATCGCTCCCTTTCTAACCTGTGGCAAAATGTTTTATAATGAAATATAACTATGATTGTTTATATAGCAATTGGTATGGAGCCATAAGCCAGGCTTTTGGTGTGAAGATAGGGGCGCGTGGGCGATACGTTTGCAAGTTCACTTCACATTTCAATGTTTACTCTGTGTGTTTACTGGAGCGAATGAACATTGCGAGTTGAAAATTTATGCTACTTTAAATATTTTTAGTGAAAGTGAAGGATAATAGAAATCCTTGTGATGAATTGAAGTGTGTTAAAGTGCTAATCGGCGAGGAAAAGGTAAAATCTTTAAACTTTGTTGAAAAATATGCATATGTTTTCACCAACATTTTATGCGGACGTAATCAAATCTTCCTTTAAGAAAGAGTGACGATTCGATTTAGAATACAAATATTTTTTTTGTACACAGTTTGTACTTTGTTCATGCTTCTCTTTTGTTCATGTATTATATTGTATGTAAATATCTTTTTCTTTCGCTCAAGCAAACCCAAACGGCTTTTTACAAAACCACCAAAGGTATGCAATTGCTGATATGTCATGCAATCTATCTAGCAGTAGTATGTCTTCTGTGTGCTTTGTTAAACACGTCCTCGATAGCACTGAATATGAAACTGAAGAGGGGAGACAGATCAAGATTGATATGTAGAAAGGGTAATTGAGTATAGTACAGAGATTGATTTAGTAGTTAGGAATAATAATTAATTCGTTTACACGAATTAATTATCCAACGAGTCGAGGATAAACTAGTAACGGAATACGACAAGCGCACCGTTCCGCGTCAGAGCCAAGACTGCCCTAACGGCGGCCGCTCCGTCCGTTTTATACAAGCAAAACGGGCGCCACCGCAGGTGCAATGGTGCAGGTGTGCGGAACACGTGTTATTTATAAGAATTATGTCTAGCTACACCAACGGCGCCACACGTGCAATGGTGCTGGTGCCGTCAGATATATTTTTATAAAACTGCTAAAAACAACAAGACCATATCTTGGGCTTGCCCTAGTTTGGAGCCCCAGCTTCGCCACTGACATTTAATACATAGTTTGTTGTCACTATTTATGTAATATAAAGTTATATACAATAAAAAGTAAAAAAATAAATAAAAAATATTGTTTTCTTCATCTATATTCACTGTTGGATTCAGGCCTATATAGGTTAGTGAATACAAAAGTTTCCCCCCCGGTACCGAAAAACCAATAAGCGAAGCATAGGCTTACCCCCACTAAAGTGAAGACCCGATGAGACATGCAGGAAAATGATGGATACACATGGGTCGGATGTGTGTATGATGACATTCCCTGGGGAAGGCCTATGTTCAGCAATGGACTTTTGAAGATGCTGTAATGATGATGTTAGAATGAGGCTATAGCAGCAATACACTCTCCACCATCAGTCTGTGAGATTTTTGCTTATGCTATAATATAAATGGATTACCTGCAGCAGTAGGTAGTTAAAGCACTATTCATTAGTAAGCAGGGCAGCTTACTTCATACAGGTTATGTTGGAATTTACTGAAGAGCTTGATATATTCCCTCTTATTGTAGATTAAAATATATGTTAGAATAGAATAATAATATTTAGATGAACAAACTTACAAAATTGTCATGTGTATGCTAAAGCTCAAGAAAGTCATGCAGTCTTAACACACAACTACAGTTTTATCCTGAAAAACAAATGTTAATATTGATTATTTTGGCTTTACCTCAAAGCTGTATTCACATAACATTTATATGTACATACAAAAGGCAAAAAATTGTTAACAATATTGTATTTTTATATATTGGGGTGAACTTAGCTTCTTTATTTTAATTTCTGAGGACTGACATGTTTATCACTTATATTATTTTTCTGCATGTTTACAGTCTGTTAAATAAACATCTAAGTGTCATCCCATTTAGATGTTTTCCCATTCCATTATATTTTTTTCTTCAAGAAGATTATTTCTAAGACCGTTTGAGGATTAAATATGATTTTTATCTTTTAGCCTCTTATTATGATTGTGTAATCTAAAATGAAAACAAACATTTGGTTAATAAGCAATCAAAATTATAAAAATACGTTTATGCTAATTTTAACACAGAAGTTCTAATTTCATTCAAATGTCTTACCAGTATTTCCCTTAGAGAATATTTGTTTTTTTTTCTAGTATTCTCCTTCAACTTATTAACGGCTACCTGGAATGATGTTCCCTGGTCTAGGAACAGGAATTAATCCCGTTTTTATTACCTCCTCCATCACTTTCTCTACTATATTTATTAATATTAGTGCAGGTGTAACTCCTTGACAAAAATAATGTGCTTATAAAGAACTTTTGCACGTCCTCTGAAGTGAGCTCTGCTTCAATCTTGCACAATTTATATTTTTCATCCACTTGAGTTCTATATCAATCTTAAGAAAACACTACAACTAACAATATTACGCTTGTTTTCGCAATGAACACAACAAGTATTCTTCATGATGAAGAGTACGTGAATCCTCCATCTACGAGCACACTTGTATCACAATTTTCAACCTTAACGTAACTTTACTCGATCAAATCCAAAATGTAATTTTCGGATTATTCAAAGAAATCTGTGACTGTATTGAAAATTGAAAATGAAATAAAATGAAAGTTTGAAAATACTGTAAATAGTCTTAGTCTGTGGTAATAAGAAATGTCAAATTCTAAGCTACCGTTTGTCTATGGTTGAAAAGGTCTGAATTTTTTTTTTCTAAGATTTCTTGCCGTGTCTCTATTGAAATTTGTATTATTTTTTTCTATAGCTTTACAAATCCTTGGTAGGAATCGATGTTTTTTTTTGTTAGGAATCATGATCTATCAAATCTGATGTAATGGCAACGGCTGTTTAGAATACGATCACTGACTTTAGACTTCTCAGAGCGTTGGGTGTTTTACGTCGGCTATATGTTTTTACACGGGTTTATACATATATTTTTGTTAGCCCTATATAAGAGACCATATTCAAAATAAAACTTGTACACTCCGCGTAGATTGGACCGCAATCAAAACGTCACAAATAAAAATAAGTCAAATAGAACGCGATAATATCCGTAAAATTAGTTTTGTTTAATGTTTAATGTTCGCATAAACAGAAGATATTATTATTATTAGGAGTCAATTAATTTTTGCCTTCAATATTGCTAGGTAAAATATTAATAAAGTTTACTGTTATTCACGACGCTGAGTTCGTAGATGGTGACGAGCGCATCCGAGGCGAACACGACGAGCTGGTCGTCAAGTGCGTCCAGCGCGAACACCTGCGCATGCACGCGCACGATCTTTGCAAACCGGTTGTCCAGCTTAGCGTCGCGCGGATAGAAGCGAATCTCGTCATGTCCGTCCAGAATGCTATAGCAACCTGACAAATGAATATTATAGTTAAATACTCTGAAGTTAGTTTGGTACGCAGCAAAGATATACACAGACATAGACATAGAATAATTTAATTAATAAACGTTTGGTAAGTTGTCGCAGGTGGCAACCAACCGAATCTCCACCGGACTCTCAGCACCGTCTGTTCTGCAGTTACCATGATCGCCACCGTAGCCAGGAATAGCGAGGCCGCCGGGAACAGAGGCAGTCTCTTTGTACCCTTCTTGAGGAGGGGTATATCTGCCACGTTAGTTAGGCAGGTGGGCAACCTGTATTTAATTATCAGAAAGATACTGTTGCCTATCTCGTGGTTTAGTTTCCCTTTATCGCTTTTTACAATACCCGCAAGATAATATTGAGTAGTGGATATCGTAACGTTCTCACGGCTTTTTATAATTATTCTAAATTGGTTCTTATTTTTAAACGTTACAACTTTCGATTAATGTTCAGAATATTAGCAAAAATAATTATAATTAATTTTGCACTGAAATGAACATTGGCAATGAAGTCGAGTTTTGATTGATTAGTGATGGAGGCGCGCACCGACGACGATGTAGTCGCGCCACCACAGCATGCCGCCGGCGACGGCGAAGTCCTTCTCCTGCGCCTCGTTGCCGAACAGCTTCCAGCGGCGCGACGCGCAGCTGTAGTGCGCCAGCCCCGCGCGCCCCGCCACGCACACGTTCGCGCCCGTCTCGTCCATCGCGCTGTACTGTACAATTTAACCCCACCTTAATGTATCGCATCGTAGCTAACACGCACGGCACCTTCAATACATTTTAACTTTAATCAATTTCTAATACTCGAACATAAGCTGAGTGATGGAGTAAAATAATCCCATCCTAACCCTCAATTTCGAACGTCAAGTTGAAAGTGGTAACGTTGAAAGTTTATTATTGTATTAGCTGACCATGCAGACGTTGATCTGCCCTCTCCGACGACCCTGTGTTCTATAAAAATTCTTAAATTCGTAATAAAAATTATTGAGGGTCACTTTTAGGAATAACTATCTTATCTCTCAAGTTGGACCAAACTGCACACAGTGTGCAAAATTTCATTGCAATCAATTTAGTAGTTTGGGAGTTCATCGCGGACAATCAATTTGACATGTAATTTTTATGTATAAAGATTATTTACAATTTTTTTTTATCAAACTATAAATTGTAAAATTAAGTTATTTACTTAGTAAAGAATTAATTTCTACTAATAATACCACTCTGATTTTATAATGTTACACACTTTTTCTTCTAATATTAAACTTTCTCAATACAACTAGCAATGACGGATTGAGCAGCAATTATTCAAAATGGTCTATACAAAGTAAATATTATACAAATGAAATAAAATAGCAATAATTTCACTACTCAAAAACCTTAGAGATAACGAGTATATTATATATAAAAGAGCAGAGGCCATGGCCCAAATTAAAAGAAAGAAAAATAAATAAAATTTGGAAAATCCAAATGCTCTCCTCGATAAAACAAAATCTCAAAATTTTTTTTGACTGTTACAAACAATAAAGTATTCATTAATGAATTTCAATAGGAATAATTCAAAGAATACGCGAAAACTTTTGATAAAATACGTTAGACATCTAATTGCTTCAATCATTTTAATTAATATATTTTATAAATTCCGTTTAAGAAATATAACGACACTAACGATAACCATAATACTAATACAACTCTAATAATATAATTACGTATAATATAATTCAGTAGACCCAGGGTAACCGATATAGACCAAAAGATCAGTAAGCTGAAGTAGCGATGAGCCGACGATATAGCTCGAGGAATCGACAACCGATGGTGAAGAAAGGTTCACGAGTGGCAGCCTTGTATCAGTTAGTGAAGTTAAGGGCAGCCCCTTACTAGGTGGAGTGACGACCTAGTAAGACGACATTTAGGTCGATCCATGCACGTGACTTCGGACCGTATTTTGTAGCATTCCTTAAGGAAAAGCTCTGTTTAGCAGTGGCAGACTTGTGAAAAGCTGTAATGGATGCATAGATGGAGCTTTTATAGATGTATAAAGTGTCATGTGGTTGATGAAGAGTGATGACCTCCGATAGCGGAGGAACGTAAAATAACCAGAACGAGAACGGGTAGCAGCCATGGCCATATTCAGCAGTTGACTTTGATGCTGACAAAAAAGAAGGTGCATTATAATATTATAAAAGAATTATTCTTTAATTTAAATATCACAAATTATTAATGTTGTGTAAGTAATTCGATATTAATTTGTAACACATTCAAGATTTATGTTACAAACTACTAAAATATTTATAAAAAAATCAGTGAACTATCAGAAATATTTACAAGGAGCAGGGTTTACAAGATAATAAAAATTGTATTTAAAATTGGGTTATGCCTAAAATTAGGTTATGAGATGTTTCAAGTGTATGGAGCTACGGAGTCTGGGCCAGGTTAAAAATAGTCAATTACACAAAACAGTTTTTAATTAGCCATGTTTTAAATAAGGCTTTGTTTGCTAGTTCAACAAAAGATTTTACACTTGGAATAACTACACAATTATAAAAAACATGACGGTAATATGTCATGAGATCACTGGTGTTTGACACAATATTACTGTTGTCTACTATATGGCACTTAAACACTGTATGTTAGTCAATCTATATGAATATATCTAATGTGGTGAGACGCCATAATTTTAAATAATTAAATTGATAAATTAATAATTTCGAACCACTACGTACGTACAGTAACGTACGTAAAGTACGTACTTATACTAGTTATACCGGGTGTTTGTGAATCGCTCCCGAAAACGAAGACAGATGACAGTAGGTACTAGACCTTAGAACATGGGTCACAAATAAATTTGATCCCGAGAGAAAAAACATCATCTTTTCACAACGTTTTATTAACTTTACTCACTCTCCATCATGTTAGTACAGCTAAATGAAACGATAATGTCACAAAAATCATGAAAATACTTAAACAAAAAACCAGCAGTGAAACTTAAAAAAAAACATCGGCTGACAATAGGGTCAATATCAGGCGCCGAACTCTTATAGGTCCCGTCACGTAAAAACGCTGGCCTTGAACATGGGCACTGAGCGATTTATCGATCAAATTGATGTTACGAAGTTTCATTTTTTAGTTTCATTTTTCATTTCTATTTTCTTATACAAAATCAAAGATAACGATGCTTTAGTGTTTATAATTGTGCGAGTACTGAGTACCCAATTAGGTACGTTTATTAATTTCAATAATTTTTGTAGTAAAGAACTGCTTGTTGCCTCAGGGTACAATTGGTTGTGTAATTGTATTAAAAATGACATCATTAACTTTAAAATTCCATATAAAGACTAGTCGTAGGGATAAAACTTATAAATTAAATAAACGTTGGCGATGTCTTAACATACATAACGCTTTAACGGTGTGTGGAAGGTTCCAGTGCTTCAAGCACTTTACCTTGTGCGCATTTGTTTTAGCGTAATTGATTAATAATTTTAGTTTTTGAGACAGTTCCGTGTTGACTATCACAAGAGCCAGTTCAATTGTTTTGCTTATTAAATTATTGTCGTTATTACTTGTTATTTATTACTTAACTAGCTGACCAGGCAGACGTTCCTGAGATGACCCTTTCTCCAATTAAATAATCCTTAAATTCCTAATAAAAAATGTTAAGACTCACTTATCGGGATAAAAACCATCCTATCTCTCAAGTTGGATCAAACTGCACACAGTGTGAATATTTTCATTGAAATCAGTTCAGTAGTTTAGGAGTTCATCGCGGACAAACAATGTGACACGTAATTTTTATATATGTCGGAAGTATAGTGGGTATAGTACAGAGACTAATTTTGTAGTTAGGAATAATAATTAATTCGTTTACACGAATTAATTATCCAATGAGTCGAGGATAAACTAGTAACGGAATACGACAAGTGTACCGTTCCACGTCAGAGCCAAGACTGTCTTAACGGCGGCCGCTCAGTCCGTTTTATACAAGCAGGACGGGCGGTAACGCAGGTGCGATGCCGCAGGTGTGCGGTACACGTGTCGTTTACAAGAATTCTGTCTTGCTAGACCGACGCCACCGCATCTACAACGGTGCAGGTGCCGTCACGGCCATACTGACATGCGTGCGTCCTCGCACGCGCTCCATTACAATTTTAGTTATCTGTAACAACTGTAATCTGTAAAACATCGTTCGATTATCCTGACAAAACAGCGTCTGGTCCGGTCTATACTGACCCTTCAGACTCAGTTCCGGCACTAAGCCCTACAAAACTTTTATCAACTTTATGCTAGATCGGAATGATTAGTCTGTAGCTTTTTCTATTTTCTCTTTTTTTTTTCAAGTACTGTTTTCGCTAGTCCGGAATCACTATTCCCTATAGCTATATCACTGGACCGGCACAAAGCCCTGCAATGATTGTAAGAACTATTCTTTTTTCTTAATCTCTTTTTTTTAGTACTATTTATGCTAGTCCGGAATCACTATTCCCTGTAGCTTTATCATTGGACCGGCAAACGCCCTGCAATGATAGTAAGAACCACATTTTTTTTCTTACTCTCTTTTTTTTTTCAATTCAGTATAGAACAGTTACAGACCAATCATACCGCAAACATGTCCCCGTCACAATCACACAAAAGTGTATCGTGAGGGACGTAGTGACACGATAACACCCAAGTATGTAAACCAATAGCAACACGACACATATCCCAGTGCAGCACAGACCAGCCTCCCTGCAACTTCATGTTCCTTTCCTGCACTAGAATAATTAATTCGCTAGAGTGTTGCAACGTCTCTAGTATTTTCTAGATGCACAGACACGGCTACCTCTGACTGTCGCACGTCCTCGTGCGGTTGACAGTGAACAGCATACGGTCTATCAGGTATCACCACCTGCTAACAGATATTAACTCTTGTTAAATATTACAACGGTCGACCATCCCAGACTTCATTTAAGTCATGGACGCGCTGATATGGCCACCTCCAGGCAAACGCACTCCAAATTTCCGTTCTGCTGCGCTCGTGCCACATTCGCGCTAGCAAGCCGTCGCGCCGTAATGGCGCTAGCGAATCGTCGCACTGCTTTGCAAAATTAAAAATTAAGAGAAATGGAGATAAATGTATTGCGAACCATGGAATTCCAAGATTCTCTTAAGAAACGGCAACTGTATGCCATTTGAAAACATTGCAAAAAAGGGAAACTATGTGTAGAGACAAATACCATCACATATTTCAAAGGGAAGGAGGCAACTGCGCATAATCTACGAATGCCGACCAAGCCTCAGACGTTCATTTACAGCACCAAAGGACCATGTGTTCGGCGGCCGCTTGAATTGTCTTGCCGTAAGATCTGCCGATAAGTTACAGACTGTAGCGGTGTAGGCTCAATCTTACTAGCGCTCGGCCGTACCTGACCATGTTCGATTAGCCGTCACAACAACTTCCTCATTGATCATTGTTGTAGAGAGACTTCTACGAATCTGTCGACATCAAACCCCAATCTTGTCGACCACACAGTATTCGGAGCAAACTGCAACACTGATCAACACATTAGAACATAAAAATGTCACTTATTATTTTCAATCCATAGCGTGTTAAAGTTAATCCTTTATTGTAGTACAACCCTTAAACGTTTTGAATTTCAAAATATAACTGATGATAATCATGTTTCGCATGAACTATCAAATTACAACAAAACGAGAGCAGCAGGAGCACCTGAGGGTTTACAAGCATCGTCGGGGTTGTAGTCATCATGATCTGCGTGAAAAACAAATTGTTAACTATAAGGACAACATACACAGTTGCCTGTTCTCTCATCTATCACACATACGAGGCCCTAAAACAGAAATTCGTTCTCATACCTTGGACTATAATAAAGCACTTCGCTTTCACAAGTAAACATAGGTCTTCATACGAAGTATCTGACACATACTCTTACTTGAACTTGCGAGATCCCACGTTAACTACGTGAACCACATTAAAAACGTGAACCAGGACAGCGCCTGCCAGGACAGAGCCTAATACATGTTCAGAAAACATTACCGTGCACACAGCATACGACTTCCGCGCACACAGTGTGACTCCCACGCATACAGAGTACACGACTTCCGAGGCATCGCCATGTACAGCATACGCGCGCTCCGGGATGGCGCCTGCGTATACGCGCATACGCATCTGCTGAAACCAGGCCATGTTACAGCTGGACCTGGCAGTCCGTTACGACCAGCAAGGCACACACTCACGCACTTGTAATCACATCACACGTGCTACTGTAACACATAAAAGAAAACATTAAAAATACTCAGTCGGAACTTGATTTCAAGAAATGCAGCACTACTCTTGGTACACCATTCGCCTTTCTAGGGCACTAAATACTGAGCTGCGGCTACACGACAACCTCTGGTATGGTCCGATCCTCATGTAAACTTAAATACTCTCTTCAATGTCAGAACCAATGGGCTCTACTTCACTTTCATCAGTTATACTTCGGTTTTCCGGCATTTTTCGCAACCAATTAAAAATGTAAACACTCATTCTTACAAAATAGTTTCTGAGCCAATGTTTAGGATAAATTTACTTTCCTCATGTATCTAATGGTGATCAGTAGCAGCGACAAATAATAAGTCCGCGGCGTCATAAGCCGACAGCATACTCAAAAGCGAGCGCTACAGCTCCACGCTTTCCACTAAACCATTCCAAGTTTGTCAACTACGTAATGCTCGGAGTAAACTGTAACACTTATCATCACATTAGATCACAAAAATACTACTTAGTTTTTTAAGTCATAGCACGTTAAAGTAATCATGTTCTTTTTTTCGGTACATCGTTTAAACATTTTGAACTTTAAAACTAGGCCATGTAAATCACACCTCGTGTATCAAATTATAACATTACTTGATCAAGTTAAACTTCCACTGAATGCAAACTATAACTCATTCAGAATATCTCCAACATTTCTTTCATTTGTTAACATATTTAGGTACGTCAGAAATGATGAAAATTCTTGAGGGTACTTTTAATACAAATCGAACAAAAGGATTTATCTTTTTGCTTAAATAATTTCACTTTATCTTTTCTCTACACTTTAATGATACGACAATATCGTAAGTAGGACAGCAAATTTTATTACGGTATTTAACATAAAAAGAGATCCATCAATGTGAAATGCATTATAGCCTTTACAAATGTAATAATTCTCATACTATTCAAAGATTGTACGTGGGCAAAAATGGGGACTTTATCCCACTTCTGATGTCGGAAGTATAGTGGGTATAGTACAGAGACTAATTTTGTAGTTAAGAATAATAATTAATTCGTTTACACGAATTAATTATCCAATGAGTCGAGGATAAACTAGTAACGGAATACGACAAGTGTACCGTTCCACGTCAGAGCCAAGACTGTCTTAACGGCGGCCGCTCAGTCCGTTTTATACAAGCAGGACGGGCGGTAACGCAGGTGCGATGCCGCAGGTGTGCGGTACACGTGTCGTTTACAAGAATTCTGTCTTGCTAGACCGACGCCACCGCATCTACAACGGTGCAGGTGCCGTCATATACAATACTAGCTGTTCCCCGCGACTTCGCCCGCGTGGAGTTTTTTTTCGCGGAACCCTAAAATAAAAGCAGCCCAAGCTACTCCTTATTCAGCAACTATCTGCCAGTGTGTATATATTCAATTGTTTTGCCTTCCCGGAACCCCTCCACTAACAACAACTTTATGGTATGGTATTAAAGTTCAAATTGACTCAAGTATTATTACGAATCTTTTGTATGGGAATATAGAAAAGTGTAGTTTTTAGACTTTTTCAGGCAATTTTTAAATTTTTCTCTCCGTAAGAACCATCTTAGTACTTTAAGCAATATTATAAAAAAAGAATTAGCGAAATCGGTTCAGCTGCTCTCGAGATTTGCGCTTAGCAACAAATTCAGCTATTCATTTTTATATTATATTATAATGATATTATTCTCGTTGTTACATTTTAAGTTTCTTGTTTTGTTTTTATAATGTCTAACGCGTATGTTTATAGTGCTCGTAAATACGGCAATATGTTAATGTGCCTTGAGAAGCTCGCGGGAATTCCGAGAGAATATCCCGACCGCTCGACATCCAGCTGACTCTCGTCTGATAACAGCAGCATTTCAGCGAGTGTTGGAAAATCGGCCCATTGCTCTGGTAGCGGCAGGAGGTGGAAATCAAGTGGCTGTTCACTCAGAGGAGCGCATTTTAGTTGTCGTTCGCCGGAATCCGAACCTAGGTACACGAAATATCGATAAACTGTTAAGGCGTCGGGATGGAACAAGTGTTTCATACTGTGCAGTGCACAAAGTGTTGAAGCGTAACCGAATGCGCCCATACAAATTGCACAAAGTGCAAGCTTTAGTTCCCGGCGATCACGACCGCCGACGAGTTTTCTGCCGTTGGTTATTAGACCAGCAACAACGTGTGCCTGGTTCCATTGAGCACATTATCTGGACGGATGAGTCAACATTTACTAGAAACGGCCTATGGAACTGAAGAAATACACACGTGTATTCCGAGGTTAACCCACACGCTGTTCGACAAACCCGGCCCTAAACCCGATGGTCGGTTAACGTATGGGCAGGTTTATTTATGAATCGCATACTAGGACCAGTGTTTCTGCCACAGCGACTTAACGGACAGCGATCCCTGAACTTCATAAATGAACAGTTCGTTGACATTTTAGACGACCTATCGTTAGCTGAATATCGCCGCACATGGTTCCAGCATGATGATGCACCTCCACATGATCGCTGGATCGGCAGACTAGGACTACACGCTTGGCCACCTCGCTCACCAGATCTGACCCCGTTAGACTTCTTTCTGTGGGGGTATGTGAAAGAAAGGAATTTTAATCGTGAGTGTGATAGTGCTAACGAAATGCGCCAAAGGATCGTGGATGTTTTCGACAAACTACGTCGGACTGTTTCGACGATGATGCCCCGCCTGCATTAGGAGACGCAACACCGAGCCCAAATCTGCCTCGAAATGAATGGAGCACAATTTGACCCGAATCTCATAAGACCAGGGAGAATTTAGAGCGGTAAGCTGTTTCATGCCTAACTTTTTTTAAGTAACTTAGTACTGAACTGATCTGAATAGGTACATAACTGAATACATCAGCATAATAAACATACCTACACGATGAATAAAACGCATGACTCTAACCTTGGTTACATTTCATTTAACTAATTTTTTCATTAGCGGGGAATCGAACCAGTTATTTGGGTTATTTAACCTGTGAATTCGAATTAAAGTGGGTACGTGGAGACAAGCACAGTAGCAAAATAGTAGGTTAAGTAGATAAGTTAGGAATTTAGAAAAGTGTTGTAAATTATTAGGTATTGTGGTATAGCATTGACCCCTAGTCAGCTAATTGTAATTCAGGAATTCCACTGCTGGTTTTATGCTTAAGTATTTTCATAATTTTTTTTATGAAATTATCGTTTCATTTAGCTGTACTAACATGATAGAGAATGAATAAAGCTAATAAAACGTTGTGAAGATGTTTTTTTTTTCATCATGATCGATTTAATATTTCACCCATCATGAAAGGTATAGTTAGTACTGTCGTCTGTCTTCGTTTTCGGGAGCGTTTCAAAAATACCCTGTATGTATTTTTCCGATTTTCAACTTTGTCCCTGGCATTTGTTGTTTCGTGGAGAATCTTAAGGTTTAAAAAAATATTTACTCCTCTACTTACTCTAAGAGGCCAGTTGGTTGCTATATACGTCGCCGGTAATGGCAATACAATCCACTGCTTTCTGCATTCGTTGTCATCGATAAACTCTCTATACTTGGCATTGTTATCATACACCAGAGTCGGATGGTCTGGTAGTCCATTATCTTGGTAGTCGGATGAGTCGATCATCGATATCTTTGTTTTCCTAGTGAGGTTGTCTTCTAAGTTCACGTAGAGCTTGTCGTCCGCTTGCAAATATAAGTGTCTCTGATTGCTCTTATAAAACAAACAAAAATATATAAATTATTTATTAAAGTACTTTAATTATTCAGATTTTTTTTTCAAATAAGAAGGGTACACAACACACAGGAGAGGTTAGCATCTCGTGAAAAAAAAATGGTACATCCCTGTACATCTCCTTAAGCAATGACTCTTCTTAAAGATCCATGCAAATTGCAAACTCTGGAACAACTATTATCTACAATGCTTACCTATATTTTTTGGCAATGTATCTACACTTACTATTTTAAAAGGTAGAATATAACAGAAAAGAATACATTTTTATTCAATATACAGGTTATTTTTCAAAGAGTAGCCAAATTTTAAACGTAGTTCAAATATATAAATAATGATATACACTTTATTACAGTTTTTGAAAATACGAGTAAATAAAGACTTTCTACTTTTATTTAAAATGATGCCAAATTGATTTATGGCCCACAACCTACCGATAGATCCTTTCGAATGTGTGCGTGCTCAGTAAAATCAATTAAAATAATGCATTACCTCGTATTTTGAATTTAAAAGATAAATAGAACAGAATGTATGAAATTTTTTTAATTAATTTTTCTTCACTATTTGCGTATATTACTTATTCTGAAGCTTGTCTGCAAATTTGGCCGGTTATTGCAAAATAACCCTGTATATTAAAATCAATTCTTATGGAAAGTCACTTTTTACTTTTACCACTGGTTCGAAAGAAACTACTGTCCTGGGAAGAACGAGCAAGAAATCCAGCAGGACATTTTTTTGTAGTAAGTGGTAGAACTGCTTTTCTGCCTAAGAGTCCGTCTGGCATTCCATCGCATTCCTCAGAGGTGATAATGCATCTGTAGCCTTCTTAATTTGAAGTTGGCTACAGGCATCCATGTACTTACCATCAGGTGGTTTGTAAGTTTGTTTGTAGCTTGAATTTTATGAAATAAATTAACAAATAGACATTTTAAACTCACCATACAAGGATTGACACTGAGGGGACTTTTTACAAAATCCATTTGTAACAGGTTGGAGTTAGAGTCTCCCTCAATTTTAACCATCCAAAGTTGGTATCCTTCAGTAGCCCATTCCTGACAAAATAATATATTTTATAGTATGTACTACTAGATAATATAATAATAATATAATATAATAGCTGACGAGGCAGACGTTGTTCTGCCCATTCCGGTAGGTGGCGTAGTGAGTTTCATTCCTAATTCTCTGCGCGCTTTTTACAGTATTACTATAAAATTTATTAATAACTCGACTAAAGCGGCACCTACCAGTTTCAGATTTTGTTTCAGATTCAGATGTTGAACCAACATATGTTTAGATCCGATAGGTGGCGCTGTAGTCAAGTTATTAACAAATTCTATATTTATGAATCAATACGACTCATATTCACAATATAGCTTTCATCATTATCATTACAGCCCTTCACAAGTCCACTGCTGAACATAGGCCTCCTGCAAGGAATGCCACAAAGCACGGTCTTGAGCCACAACTGCATCCATCGACTTCCTGCATGTCTTACCAGGTCATCTTATAGAAAGGAGGACGCCCTACACTTTGTCCGGCGGTACGAGGCTGCCACTCGAGAACCTTTTTTCCCCCATCGGTTGTTGGTTCTTCGAGCTATATGGCCGGCCCATTGCCACTTCAGCTTACTAATCCTTTGGGCTATGTCGGTAACTCTGGTCCTACTGCGTATATCCTCATTGCTAAGTTTATCACGCAGAAAAACCCCGAGCATAGCCCTTTCCATAGCTCGCTGAGCGACCTTTAGCTTCCTCATACGGCCAGCAGTGAAGGACCACGTCTCATATCATTCATATCATATAGCTTGCATAGCCATCATTTAGACAAAACAATTATATTGAGTGAATATGACCTTAAAGTCATTCAGAAGTTCCACAATCACTAACAAATGCACCAACGATTATAAAACATATAAAGAAGATGTAGACGGTTTGCTAACCAAACTGAAAAATTACAGTTAACCGTAAGCCAGAAGCTCGTATCCCATACAATGCCGATGCATATGCAAGAATTAAATCTTCTTTCTTCTTTATTTCCAGGTCTAGATATATTTTTCTGTTCTTTAATTTTGTCGTATAAACGCTACAATTAACCAAATCTAAGAAATGCCTTCTGACGTTTCACATTAATAATTCCGCAATCACTTTGTACTAACGTACTCACACGATTTAAAATTACCTTTCACGTAAATACCAATAATTATGAAGCTATCTATATTTCATTACATGTATAGTTCTTTATCACCAACTTAAATTCGAATCTTTCAAACAAAGCAAAATATAAAAAAAATAACCAGAATCAACTTTTATGTTTAACGTTGTTTTAATAATATATCGTTACCGTAGTAGTGTTTGGATGATTGAAATTCATGCTAATGCGAATAATCGTTTAAAATATTCAAATAGTCAAACCTTTACATTTTTTAATTCATTGTTTGTTTCTTTAATTTTTTTTTATTTTTAGAGTTGCATAAATTTATGAATATTGAATTAAACCAGTCTATTTTTTATAATTTCTGTGACTCCAGCGGGAAATAGAAGAGGTTTACCTCTGCGTTTCACTTGGTGAGTGCAGGTGGCCGGAGGCCCTCTTTACTGGAAATGAGGCATTCCATCTTAGTCCTCACGGGTGACAACGTATCTCCATATTGATTTGTAATAGAGGATAGATGTAGATATCTATGGGTCACAGCAACCACTTACCATCAGGTGGACTGTGTGCTCGTTTGTCACCCTTATCCTATAAATAAAAAAGAAAAAATACTCCCACTATGGCGAAGTTGCGAGTAAGTTTAGGAGATGCCGCATTGTACAATGGTAGCATGAAGCAAATACAAAGAGACGGCATAAGCAACTGTGCACTGTGATTCTAAGTAGGTCCTGACGTAGTCATAGTGGGCGTGGCTTTAGTTAGTATACTGTCAGCATTCGTCCTGTGCGCTTATGTGTGTTTTTTTTTTTTGAATATCGCAAATCGGTGTATTTTCGTAGTTTTTAGAAGAAAAGGATGAAGTGTTGTGTTTTATCGAGTAAAAACTGCTCAGATAGACGCTCTAATACTATGGCCATCAGAAAAGATCAGATCCATGTGATGCTATCATCACATTTCATTTGTAAGTAATTTTACACCTAATTTATTAAAATAGTTCTAGAAAAATCTCTTTGCGTCGGCTTTCAAATATAATTGAATATATAAGACACTAGATGGCGACACTTTGTGTCATGTGAACTAAAAATATAAAGGTACCTAGAGCTCAGTAACGGTAAAATAATCATACGAAGGTGTGAAGAATTTTTAAACGCCAAAATATTATTTTTATTGTTTTTATAATCATTTTGTGAGCAGGCCGCCATCTATCGTCAAGGTAGCTAAACTACATTGCAACATCGAAATGGAACGATTTGAGTAGTTTTACTATTTATCGGTAGATGTAGATAGTAAAGTGGGCGGGGCTTAACATCCCCTCACCCCGCAAATTGTCACGCGTTGTTACATAGTGAAATCTAATTACAACACCTCCTGTTTGTATTTGCTTCATGAATGGTAGTATAGTCATTAAGAACCAATTAAAAAGGGATTGGCTTCCGATACAAAGAAAATGACAACCGCAAAATTATTATTTAGAGACATGAATGCAAAGAATAACATTTTTACGAGAAATTAAAAATCTAAACAATTAGGACAATGTTATATTCATTGATAAAACATTGCTAAACGCCAACCATACTGTGCCGTAGACACGGATAGATGACATGTGCCCGTGGGAAATGGTGGGCACCTCATAATTTGCCATCAGGGAACCGCCAGAGGAGGATTTGTAGAAGATACAACTACTACACAAGCGACCACTGGTCCAAAGTGATGGAGAAAACAAAGAAAATTGTTATGGACGACTATGAGAGACGTTCATTTTGAATACATTAAAGAAATACCAAACAATAATTAATGTAAACAACGATGATGACGACGACAGCTCAAAAAATTATAGTGGAAGTGATTAAATAAATATTTTTAATTTAGTGCAGTTTGTAATTTGTATAACTTTATCTCTATATATTAGCAGTAGGTAATAAATATGAAGAAACGGATAAATGTTGTTCTGAATTATTTGTTCCTAATTTATTCTGGTGTTAATCTAGATAAAACAGTAACTGATTACAAACTTAAGAATCGAATATTGTAGGTACCGATTCAGTTGAAATGCCTAGTCCAATAAATGTGACAGCTGTCAAAAGGTATTTGGTGGAGTATAATAAATACGTCAACAGAAAAATTATAGCGCAATGACAGTAGACACCCAAATATATAACGTTACCATGAAACCAAATGTTTTTACATGTTAGAGATATGCTGCAGCTAATATTGATTGATTGTAGCACGAATGGGTCGGCTCGACCACGCTCTCACAGAATACCAGCGTAAAATAACAACATAATGCCGCTGTGTTTCATATGGTGAGTATAGAGAATCGAAGACCCTTTTTACTGGATCTCGTATCCATCTTAGTCCATAGGGGTGACAACGCAACTGCATTATGATTCTTAATCGTGGATAGATGTTGATGGATATGATGCTGGAGACAACGAGCGGGTTGTGGTGCGCGAGGTCCTGGCTGAGGCCGTAGTCCCAGGCCAGCGAGCACATGAGCAGAGCGCCGAACGTGTTCCACACCGACACGTACGGTAGCGATACGCACCATGCTGGAGACGACGAGCGGGTTGTGGTGCGCGAGGTCCTGGCTGAGGCCGTAGTCCCAGGCCAGCGAGCACATGAGCAGAGCGCCGAACGTGTTCCACACCGACACGTACGGTAGCGATACGCACCATGCTGGAGACGACGAGCGGGTTGTGGTGCGCGAGGTCCTGGCTGAGGCCGTAGTCCCAGGCCAGCGAGCACATGAGCAGAGCGCCGAACGTGTTCCACACCGACACGTACGGTAGCGATACGCACCATGCTGGAGACGACGAGCGGGTTGTGGTGCGCGAGGTCCTGGCTGAGGCCGTAGTCCCAGGCCAGCGAGCACATGAGCAGAGCGCCGAACGTGCTCCACACCGACACGTACGGTAGCGATACGCACCATGCTGGAGACGACGAGCGGGTTGTGGTGCGCGAGGTCCTGGCTGAGGCCGTAGTCCCAGGCCAGCGAGCACATGAGCAGAGCGCCGAACGTGCTCCACACCGACACGTACGGTAGCGACACGCACCATGCTGGAGACGACGAGCGGGTTGTGGTGCGCGAGGTCCTGGCTGAGGCCGTAGTCCCAGGCCAGCGAGCACATGAGCAGAGCGCCGAACGTGTTCCACACCGACACGTACGGTAGCGATACGCACCATGCTGGAGACGACGAGCGGGTTGTGGTGCGCGAGGTCCTGGCTGAGGCCGTAGTCCCAGGCCAGCGAGCACATGAGCAGAGCGCCGAACGTGCTCCACACCGACACGTACGGTAGCGACACGCACCATGCTGGAGACGACGAGCAGGTTGTGGTGCGCGAGGTCCTGGCTGAGGCCGTAGTCCCAGGCCAGCGAGCACATGAGCAGAGCGCCGAACGTGTTCCACACCGACACGTACGGTAGCGATACGCACCATGCTGGAGACGACGAGCGGGTTGTGGTGCGCGAGGTCCTGGCTGAGGCCGTAGTCCCAGGCCAGCGAGCACATGAGCAGAGCGCCGAACGTGCTCCACACCGACACGTACGGTAGCGATACGCACCATGCTGGAGACGACGAGCGGGTTGTGGTGCGCGAGGTCCTGGCTGAGGCCGTAGTCCCAGGCCAGCGAGCACATGAGCAGAGCGCCGAACGTGTTCCACACCGACACGTACGGTAGCGATACGCACCATGCTGGAGACGACGAGCGGGTTGTGGTGCGCGAGGTCCTGGCTGAGGCCGTAGTCCCAGGCCAGCGAGCACATGAGCAGAGCGCCGAACGTGCTCCACACCGACACGTACGGTAGCGACACGCACCATGCTGGAGACGACGAGCGGGTTGTAGTGCGCGAGGTCCTGGCTGAGGCCGTAGTCCCAGGCCAGCGAGCACATGAGCAGAGCGCCGAACGTGTTCCACACCGACACGTACGGTAGCGATACGCACCATGCTGGAGACGACGAGCGGGTTGTGGTGCGCGAGGTCCTGGCTGAGGCCGTAGTCCCAGGCCAGCGAGCACATGAGCAGAGCGCCGAACGTGCTCCACACCGACACGTACGGTAGCGATACGCACCATGCTGGAGACGACGAGCGGGTTGTGGTGCGCGAGGTCCTGGCTGAGGCCGTAGTCCCAGGCCAGCGAGCACATGAGCAGAGCGCCGAACGTGCTCCACACCGACACGTACGGTAGCGACACGCACCATGCTGGAGACGACGAGCGGGTTGTGGTGCGCGAGGTCCTGGCTGAGGCCGTAGTCCCAGGCCAGCGAGCACATGAGCAGAGCGCCGAACGTGCTCCACACCGACACGTACGGTAGCGATACGCACCATGCTGGAGACGACGAGCGGGTTGTGGTGCGCGAGGTCCTGGCTGAGGCCGTAGTCCCAGGCCAGCGAGCACATGAGCAGAGCGCCGAACGTGCTCCACACCGACACGTACGGTAGCGATACGCACCATGCTGGAGACGATGAGCGGGTTGTGGTGCGCGAGGTCCTGGCTGAGGCCGTAGTCCCAGGCCAGCGAGCACATGAGCAGAGCGCCGAACGTGTTCCACACCGACACGTACGGTAGCGATACGCACCATGCTGGAGACGACGAGCGGGTTGTGGTGCGCGAGGTCCTGGCTGAGGCCGTAGTCCCAGGCCAGCGAGCACATGAGCAGAGCGCCGAACGTGCTCCACACCGACACGTACGGTAGCGACACGCACCATGCTGGAGACGACGAGCGGGTTGTGGTGCGCGAGATCCTGGCTGAGGCCGTAGTCCCAGGCCAGCGAGCACATGAGCAGAGCGCCGAACGTGCTCCACACCGACACGTACGGTAGCGATACGCACCATGCTGGAGACGACGAGCGGGTTGTGGTGCGCGAGGTCCTGGCTGAGGCCGTAGTCCCAGGCCAGCGAGCACATGAGCAGAGCGCCGAACGTGTTCCACACCGACACGTACGGTAGCGATACGCACCATGCTGGAGACGACGAGCGGGTTGTGGTGCGCGAGGTCCTGGCTGAGGCCGTAGTCCCAGGCCAGCGAGCACATGAGCAGAGCGCCGAACGTGCTCCACACCGACACGTACGGTAGCGATACGCACCATGCTGGAGACGACGAGCGGGTTGTGGTGCGCGAGGTCCTGGCTGAGGCCGTAGTCCCAGGCCAGCGAGCACATGAGCAGAGCGCCGAACGTGTTCCACACCGACACGTACGGTAGCGATACGCACCATGCTGGAGACGACGAGCGGGTTGTGGTGCGCGAGGTCCTGGCTGAGGCCGTAGTCCCAGGCCAGCGAGACCATGAGCAGAGCGCCGAACGTGCTCCACACCGACACGTACGGTAGCGACACGCACCATGCTGGAGACGACGAGCGGGTTGTGGTGCGCGAGGTCCTGGCTGAGGCCGTAGTCCCAGGCCAGCGAGCACATGAGCAGAGCGCCGAACGTGTTCCACACCGACACGTACGGTAGCGATACGCACCATGCTGGAGACGACGAGCGGGTTGTGGTGCGCGAGGTCCTGGCTGAGGCCGTAGTCCCAGGCCAGCGAGCACATGAGCAGCGCGCCGAACGTGCTCCACACGGACACGCCACCGCGCGCCCAGCTCAGGCACACCGCGCGACCGTCCGCCGTCCACCTGACCACAATTATATTACGTCACATTTAATTGTATTTTTTGAGTTAACCATACAGCGCCGAGGGCGGCGACGGTTTCAAATCCTGCACAAAACACGTATTTGTATGGCCAATAAATATTTTTTCCGGGTCTGGTTGTTTGTCCTTGTACAATTGTAAACTGTCTTCACAATACAAGAAAGAAACCTACTGTGGGGGGTGACCTCCTTTAAAAAAGAGTAAAACATATATAACGTACCAGAAGTTTTACTCCATTGTTCTTGAGCCGGCGCCAGATACAGCTTTAAACATTTGAACACTTGTTTGAAGCTATGTGTAGCACGGCACTTTGAATCAATGTACAAATAAGTGCACAAAGAAATGCACTTTGCCAAGTGGTTTCGGTTTTTTAGCACACTTTAAAGCGTTCAAAGTCAATAGTGTTCTAATGTTTGCGTAACCTGCCACACTTGCGCAAAGTTCTTTCGCGCAAGCGTTGTCCAGCGGGAGGGTCGTGCGCAGTACGTTTTAAAAATACGTCCAAGCATATAGACAGTAAAAAACAATCGAATAAATGTTATTTGTATGGTCAGCTGTTATCTGAAAAGATAAAGCCCTTGGATGAAGATGACAGACTAGTACTTATGAATGAAATAGATAATCTTGTATGTAAATATTTTATTGTATTATTTTTGCACATGTAATAAATAATGACATGCACTTAAAAAATACAAACAATCCACAAAATCGTCGTCCATCTTGTTTGTCATTTATCAACGTACTGTGCAAAGCATGTCTGGCAGGTTACGCAATAAGTGTTTAAATGTTGTTGCTATATCTGGCGCCGGCTTTGTATTCATGCTGCCATCGCGAAGGCAACACAGGGTTACTAGTAAAGTTATTTCATTTTCCGCCTTCAGCTCCTTCAAAAGATTCATTGCCAGGGCAAAGTCAGAGCACATATGGCAAGAAACCAGTTCGCCTTCCTTCGGGAAACCGTGCATTCTGGTTTCTCGCCAAACTGTCCAAGGGAACTTCTGTCAGCCATCTTTTCCATCTATGCACAGGGAGGACGATTCACTGGCCCATGCCGCAAAGGAGGAAGCCGATCTACTAGGCTCTTTCTTTGCGTCCAACTCGATTCTCTATGAATTGGCCGGAGCCCGGAGTTGGCACCGGATCTAACGCGTATTTTCCGGTACTACTATCCCCAGGCGTAGTCTCAAAATCACGGAAGACGGCTTTTATCCACGCGATCCCTAAAAAAGGCAACCGCTCAAATCCGTCTAACTACAGGCCTATCGCCATCACCTCCTTGTTCTCCAAAATAATGGAATCCATTATAAACTGCCAGCTCATGCGGTATCTTGAGGATCACCAATTGATTAGTGACTTTCAATACGGTTTTCGTCGGGGTCGATCAGCTGGTGATCTTCTGGTCTACCTGACTCATAGATGGGCGGAGGCAGTAGAGTCCATTGGCTGCTAGTTTAGACATTGCGGAGACCTTCGAACGGGTATGGCACAAAGCGCTTCTTTCAAAGCTCCCTTTCTATAAGCTTCCCGAGAAATTGTGCAATTGGATCATCAGCTTTCTTGCAGATCGGAGCATCAAGATCGTTGTAGACGGTGCATTCTCCGTTCCACAGTTCCACAAGGCTGCGTGCTATCACCAACGCTGTTTCTTCTGCATATCAATGAAAGGTTGCGAAGGCATAATTGTGACATGGACATTAAACATGATCTTTGTTTTGTCCATATTCATCTTAAGACCTACCAAGAAAAGGAGTTCGTTCTAAGCCATAGCAACACGCAACAAGCGCTACAGACTGTTATACAGTATTAAAATAATATTTATCAATTTACTAAACCTTATGCACTTCACAGGTCCCGGATCCCCCGGGAAGTCTTTTGAGCTGAGGACCATGGTGTGGGACAACTCCAAGCCTCCAGTAACCTCGTCTATCGTAAAAACATCTACCTGAGAACTGAAACAGTTAAAATTAAAATAATAAATTTTATTAATAATAAGTTATGTATGTAAATTTTTATTTTTATTTAAAACTTTAATAATAATAAGTGAATTTAACATTAATTCAGAAATAATGTGACCAACTAACAGTTTATAGACATAGACATAGACATTAAGACATTCATTTATTCAGCAACTTACACTCATACAGTTTTGATACAGAAAATAAAACGATACATAAAAACATCAAAGATAAAAGTAAATAACAAAAACCATCATAAAATGATCCGATTGCATGAGTGATGTGGTGCTGAAAAGGGCACTGACTCAATATAATGCTATCACAGGATTGCGGTAGCGTTGGTTTTCAGCAATGCCCATTGAGATTGGACTCGCCCGCGAGGATAGTATGTTCGCTTTATTTCTATTTTTGAGAAAGATGTTATCAAAATAATAAAATTAAATAATGGAAATGAAAAAGGATAGGAACTTTATGTATGCAGTAGGTATATATAAATGTAGGTATAATAAATAATATAATGAGTATTTACAATAAAACAATATAGATATTTATATTATGCTATGAAAATATAATGCAGCTATTTTATCCGCCCTAAATGTTAAACTGGCAAAAATATTCTTTTGCTTTTACCTGAAAAGGCTGATGGTTGGCGGATAGGTGGGGGCAAGTTGTTCCAGCATTTAGTAGCTGCATATCGGAAACTACCACGGAATGCTGCCGTTGTGTTTTGGTATTGAAAGGACATTTGATTTTGTTCGAATGTCCTTAAAATTACCCTCCTTGCGCCATTTTAGTTTTTCTAACAAACACTTGGGCTTTTTATTTTGAAAGACATCGAACATTAGTGTTTCTAAATGTAGTGCTCTAGACGTGAGTTCGTGGGGGAATGTGGTGTATATACCTGGCACAAGCATTTTGGATCCTCTGAATTATTCGGTCAGTTTTCGAAAGTAGCCTTGGTCCATATGCCGTATCGGCATAGTTTAGCCTGGAGAGTACAAGGGAGTTGCAAAGCTTAACGCGCAGATCTTCACTCAAAAAGGCACGTATTCAGTATAATACTTTTAGTCTGTAAAAGCAATTACGTGCTGTTATATCCCTTTTTACCACGCAGTTAAATCTTAGTAAGCAGCAGCAAGTTGAATAAATCAATCCCACGGTACTTTTCCTATATATGACGTCAATCAGTAATTGCATTGTTCTTTTCCATATTAATTTTATTCCACTTTACAGTCAGTTAGATTCAGAGCCCCGGGTAGATCGGACATAGATTCCGATACGTATTAGAGTTCGGAAGTCAGGGTTAATATTAATTGTGTGTGTAAACTTTTTATAATAAACCCTTAGGTTTACCTTGTGGTTTTTTTTTAAAAAGTCAAACGGGATCGGCCTCCTAACAGTGCGATCTCGATCACGTGTCTCTCAAAGCGAAGCGCATCATCCATCAGCAACCCCAGATTCTTTCAGGATTATTTGCAACTATTCGATTTATCTGTCGCTTTGATCCCAATACTATGTATTTTGATTTTGCTGGATTGAGTACAAGAGTGTTGGCTTCTGACCACTGGGCGATTTTCGTTAGATCTCTATTTAAGTTATTAACAGCCCAGTTAGTTTGACTTGGTATAAAGGAAAGATATACCTGCAAATCGTCTGCATACATATGATATTTACAGTTCTGAATGGCTGTACTAATATCTGCTATATACAGTATGAATAAAAGAGGGCCTAGTACGGATCCTTGCGGAACTCCTCTCGTTACAAGACAAGGACTTGATAGAGAATGTGTACCATCTTTTTTAATTATTTTAACCAATTGCATGCGATCATTTAGATAACTAGAGAACCACTTGATTGCGGTCGAATCGAATCCATAATAGGAAAGCTCAGACAATAATATTTCGATGTTAAGAGACTCGAAAGCCCGTGAGAAATCAAGTAGTGCCATGATTGTTCCTTCACCTTTATCTTGAGAGGCTAAATATTGTCCACTACGTCTAATAGTGCTGTTGTCGTGCTGTGATACTTTCTAAAACCAGACTGCAGTTTCGGTAATATGTGATTACTCTCCAAGTAAGCTTCAAGCTGTGTACATACTACTCTTTCCAGTATTTTCGACAAGCAGGGTAGGATACTAATAGGGCGCAGGTCTTTGAAATTTATAATGCTATTGGTTTTTGGAATTGGTGTAACCAAAGCGGTTTTCCAGACGTCAGGGAAATAAGACGTGGTTATCGATCTGTTAACTATCGCGGTGATTACTTTTAGCGTGTAAGAAAGTGTTAAAACAACCATATCCAGATATATGCCGTTAGCGCCCAAAGCGTTTGACTTAAGTGAATTAATTATTTTGGTTATTGTGTTTTCGTCTGTAACACTTAACTTAAATGTTGAAGAGAAAATCGATGGGAGTTAAAGAAAATATGTTCTAAATCGGGTGCTGAATCATTTCCAGGTATAGTGCAAAAATGAGAATCAATCAGATCCGGATCGTTGAGTTGATCTGGAATTACATAGTCTCTAGATTTTTCTGATATGTTTATTGTCCGTTTAAGATTGTTCCAAAGAGCTTTAGAATTAGTTAAATTGCGGCTTATATTATGTTGATTAAAAGAGGCCTGTTTTTCGCGGTATAACGCTGAGTTTACAGCATGCTTAAGTTTTTTGTAATAACTTTTATGCTTCTCTAATCCAGTTAAGCGAAAACGATTATGTGCTTCGTTCCGCAGTTTCATCATTTCGCGAATAGTAAAGGTAATCCATGGATATTTATGTTCCTTTACTTGCTTAAGCTTTAGTGGCGCGAATTGGTCGAACAGGCTTAACACTGTTAAATTGAATTGAGAAACCATATCATTTACATGAGGTAATTGAGCCATAGAATTCCAGTCGATCCTTTCCATTTCGAAATTAAAACTATCACGATGTATGTCTTTCACTGGGCGATACACGAACTGAATTGGTTGACATTTTGGCTTATTGATTTTAAAATTACATGTTAAGAAAGCATGAATACTTAGAGTTGGTATGTAGTCAACGGTTACGTTAGAGATTGGTAGGTCGGCGCACATTAAATCAATTAATGTAGCACTGTAAAGAGTAAAATGTGTAGGTTCCTTTACATATTGGGTTAAATTTAGGAATTTTGTAAAATTGTCAAATTTATGAGTATTGTTGTCAGTTACCAGTAAATTTATATTAAAGTCACCCATGAGCACAATATTATCGCGATGAGTAAAAGATGATACTGAATCAGTAAGTGCGTCAAAAAATATGTCTACGTCCAGCCATGGTGGTCGATAAGCAGCACCTATCATCAGATTTATACCGTTAACGGTTAAATTAAGCCACATTTGTTCAACTGATATTGCGACAGGAAATACACACTTTTTTACGGCGAGATCATGACGTACATAGAATCCAACCCCAACGCCACGTGCGCGTTGTACTTGAACGTGGAATATGACGCAAGCGGTAACCGGGGATAGATTATATTATTCATTAGCTCGTTAAAAGTCCAGAGCTGGGCCCCCCAGTTAGATGGAATGGTGGGGATGGTTGGAATTTACCATAGTTGCCACACTGAAAAGTGGATTGACGATTTATTTACCGATATCTCGTAACTGTGAAGTTGCTTCCCGTCATTGATTTCGGTGTTTTACACCAGGCAAATAAGAGTTGATTATACCGCCATCTATTGGAGGACTTGAAATCTTCCCATTGTTGACTCTAATGATTCGTGGTAGAACCATGATGCAGCTAGTATGACTTCAGTAAAATAGGTCGGCTCGACCAACAAATAACTATGCTCTCACATAACACCGGCGTAAAGGAGCACCATAGTGCTGCTGTGTGTCGTGTAATTAGTGCAGAATAACGGAAACCCGTTTTACTGGTATCGATATATTGCGTCTTTGTCTCTTGATTTTTCATCGATGATAGATTTAAGTGCCGTAGAGTTACACTGTGTAGCTGTGGTAAGTGTCATAGGGTGTACTGTGTACTCATTTCATTTCCCTTATATAAAAAAAAACATATGTGCAATTCACACGCGGTAGAAGTGAAAACCTCGGAAAACTAAGATTCGAAAGAATGAGACGAATGCAAAGTATCGTAAGTAGGATAATTAGGTAGGGTTTATTTATTATAATATTGTTACCAAGTTTAAAAATTTATTTTACATGTCATTCTATATAATATTTTACATTACATATTATACAGATTCCTAAGTTTTCAGTTTCAACAAACTGTGTACTGTATTCCGTCTCATTCTCTCGCAGGCTAATTCCAATAGATGTACATGTTTGTCACTGTTGTAGTGTCGCTCTTTCGTTTTATCGAGTTATAAATCACAACGATTCTAAATAAGTTCTCACTTCAAAAACGGGAATGGGATGATGGATTCGCTCACGCCGGTTTCACACGGAGAAGAATACGAAGTTTCATTAGCTTATTTATTATAAGCATGAAGCTGGATTATAAGAATGCAATAGCCACTTACCATCAAATGGACTATAAGTTCGTTTACTGTTACAGCCACGGAGCAAATACAAACAGGAGGTGTTGTAATTAGATTTCACTATGTAACAACGCGTGACAATTTGTGGGGTGAGGGGATGTTGAGCTCCGCCCACTTTACTATCTACATCTACCGATTAAAACTACTCTAATCGTTCCATATCTATGTTGCAATGTAGTTTAGCTAGCACAGCACGAATGCTGACAGTATACTAACTAAAGCCACGCTCACTATGATGACGTCAGGACCTACTTAGAATCACAGTGCACAGTTGCTTATGCCGTTTCCTCTTTTGTATTTGCTTCATGATTATAAGAATACCAGATCGAATTACCGAATTTCTGTAAGATATTTAAATTAATACATTGATAATAAAAACTAATTTAATACTCACTTCTTCCTGCCAATAGCTATAAGTCTAAACTTATGATTAACTCGCACGCAGGTCGCGTCATCGATTCCCGGAGCCCAAATTCCTTGTACTGCCTAATGAACACAAAAATATTATAATTATATCCATGTATTTAAGTACTTACATCATTATAACATTACACTTCACATTTATATAGAAAAAACTTGAACTGCTTAAAGACTTAGCATTTATCTAAGACATTGTATTTAATGATTAAATTATTAGAAGGCACACTTGGGTAAATGACCTTAGCAACCAAACGGCAAAAACAACTAAAGACTACAACGGACAGGGTAGAAAATGTGCTCTTAATCCAGCTAAGCAATGATAGGGCCCCGGTTTGGTTCCGAACGGCGCTCCTGTGACCCCTCGTATATGTGGATGGTGACTACCGTGAGGTTTTAGCCGGTAAGAGTCCGGCTAATCTTTTCATCGATCCCGCAACGGAAGGCATCCATGTCGATATGCCCACAAAAAAAAGTGGAAATAGTAAAATTTACGCATCAAAATAGTAGTTTAGACACCGATGTCGCGTACAAAAATTTGGTTGTACGGAAACTGAAATTAAGTACGAAGATTCCTAAAGCGTATAAAAAGTCTACAAATGCGTACAGAAGCAACAGAATGGACACTTGCACGTTTTTTTATCTCTGGAAATAAGTTATTTGTTAATCATCATTGTTCTGAATACTGTATAATGTGTGTAGTATTCTCATAAATTTTATCGCCGGTTTTATTGTAGACATCAATTCTAATATACTCGTATTGTTGGTCATTGTCGTTTGAACAAAAATATTTGGGATATTTAGGTACTAGCTTATTGTAATGCAACCTCGCAAACCTACAACCACAATATAATAGCACTTATTGCACTGATAGTGTCTTACCCTCAATTCCGTTTCCAATAAAATCTGATCGGATAAAATACTTAATTATAATACTTTTAATAAACATAGTAATAATACAAACATACTTCTAAAAAAAGTTTAATACGTGTTTGTCACATTAAGATTAAAAAAGTTACAAAATATACTAGGTATATTATTTAATAAATTGTGACCCTCTTCCTGATCTCGTCATTAGTGGCCGAATATATTTATTGTATGGCATCATGAAAGGAACGGCTATAGATAGGTGGGACTTGCCGAAACTTAGGTACATGTTACGAAAGTCTCAAAAGTGTTATATATATTTCCGTCGGACGCGATGAAATTAATTGGCGGGAAAGGACCATGCCCATATTAGTATGGAGCTGTAAGTCAGTAATGCCATGCAATGCCCAAATTGCAGCTCTATGTCATATGACAACTTTTTAACAGTATTTATATGATATCTAGATTTAATGTCATATAAAGCACCGGTTCAAAAGATATTGGACATTAAACATGATAACTTCCTACTGGTTTTTTATACAATGAAAGAATGAGTGACAGTCATTTTAGTTTTTTGGAATGTTTTTGACTTGGAGCTAAGTCTTTTGAGCCATTACTTCGTTAGGTTTTTGCTTTAATTATATTTGTTTATTTGAAGCCTAGATATACTTATACACTACCACAAAGTACTTTTTTACTTTTGAGTGTCTGGAGACATCATTTAGATCTTTATTCAACTCGTTGATGATTCAAATGTAAAATAATAATCGATATTGGAATCGATTACTTAGATCAATTGATCAACAAAAAAACGATTTCTTTTTTGAAGATTTTATTTATCATGCCAATTATTTAGCCCCGAACTAAACAAAGCCTAAGATTTTATAATTTAAGACTGTCAATGAGGAATAGGTGAACAAACAAATAGTCCCATAAATGGCGTTGGTAAAAAACTAGTCTGTCTCTGGCTTTTGATAACCAAAATGAACGCTTAACTGGGCCATGTCTTTTCATCTGATGACGTTTATTATAAAATCATATTTTTATTTGGTTTTGTTGTAAAGCAGTATATTACTTAGTAATGACTTTTTGACTAATATCAATCATGTTGAGTTTTAAATGGGCCAAAGGACGTGATTCCAGACGGTAATAAATAAAGCATGAATTAATGATTGAAACGATGATACGTACTGCAATGTCAACAAGAACGTCTTATTTTTTTTATCCAGTGCTTCATATGATTTAAAATTAACAACATAATTCTAGTTTTTATTTATTAGAGCAATCTTGTAATATACTTTATCTGGGCATTTCTGGGGCACAGATGGGCATTGTCTTTTGCGCTTTGTAGAAACCGAAACAAAACCAATAATGTACACTCACAACAACTCATGTTAAATATTTGAATACCAATATGCTATAAAATGGTGAGAAACTGAGTGTTGCGGATTCTACTGTTACCCTTGGAATTACTATTTGACACGTGAGCGCACAACAGAAAATGTACAAACGTAACAAATATTCGCATTAGTTTATTAAAGAATCTCATTTTAAAATTACTATATTCTTATTCGTATAGCACAATGTCATCTCGGCATGATCGTTTTATTCCCTTCCGATCACGTCAAGTAATGCATGCCGCCTCGGTACCATCAAGCCAAGCGCATGCCATACTAAGTTTGCCTAAATCCATATTAATACTTATAAAAATAACCTTTATGTCGTCTAGGGTGCTATTTAAAATTTAAAAAAATTAACAAACAGTCATATGAATATTATAGTTGGTGGATACAGGAGGCGCATATTATGTGTAAGTGAATGTATCTATTAATTTAAGAGAAATAACTATTCGAACTTATAAAAAAATATTCATATTTTATACATTAATAATTATTGCATATAACAATTGTTAAAAGCTTACATTTGGATCAAATTTGAGGTTAGGTGCAGTAAGGTAAGCCGCGCGGCCATCATTGAGTGTAATCCCGAAGCCACAGACAAGTGGAGAGTACTCAATGTCATTTACATGTGTATTATCTTCAAGGATGGGTTCAGCTGGAAGAGGAGAAGCAAATTATAGGAAAATAAATAGAAATGAGGCAATAAAAATACTAAAGACTATACATACTGTTGTAAGCTGCAAGCTTTGCATTCACAGAGTTACAATAGCAATACAAATTTATTGTTTGTATTTGTCTTATGCTGCGGGCTAAATGATATATAAAGTTGGGCTCAATCCGTATCTACATGATCAAAAGAACCGAATATGTAGAGCGAAATATTTTTAATATATATGGTGCCTAATGATTTCTTGTATTTAGTCAACACTACACATTGAATAAAACTATGTTTACGGATTTTATTGCGTTTAATTTACTATTTTTAATTGCCGTACGTTTCGGGTGCTTTATAGCAACTCATGGTCACGGGGGACTGAGATATTTGACGTTCCAATGTCATAGTTAGCCTGGCTACCTTCAGTTTTTGAATATTAACTTTTGGTTTGATCTACGCAGAATGAGCTTACAGTATCTTTAAGTCTTGCAGTGGTATTTTTTTAATTATACGATCCCAAACAGATAGCAGCACCCATCCATCTTCTCTATTGAAATTAGAATGTTTTTTAATTTAAAATAGCCTCGCGTATCAGCCTTGGTAGGAATCGGTGTTCTTTTGCGAGGATTTGTGGTCTATTAAATATGATGTAATTGCGGCGACAATCTTGATCAATTAAAACCCGCGTAAAAGAACATATAACTGACGTGAAGGATTGACGCTCTGAGAAGTCTACAGTCTGTGAACATGTTCAAGATCGACCCCGCCATTACATGGGTGCTGCCATCTGCTTGGAATCCTATAATTAACAAAATTAAATCGAAAACCAAAGCATACTACTGCAAGACTTCAAGATGCTGTAAGCTCATTCTGCATAGATCGAACCAAAAATTAATATTCAAAACCTGAAGGTAGCCGGGCTAACTATGACATCAGGACGTAATAGTTAGCCCGGCACCTAAGTCCCCCGAGACCATGGGTTGCTGTAAAGCAACAGAAACGCCGGGAATTAAAAATAGTAAATTAAACACGATAAAATCCGTAAACACAGTTTCATTCAATATATTTGGTGCGATATAAATGCACTACACAATACATTATTACATAGAATTAAAAATTTATTATGTTATGGTACTTAATATTAATCGATAAAAATGCATTATGTCATAAATTTTAGTATATACGCCACATCAAATAAAATTTGAACTTATTTTTATGCGATCACAAAATAGTCGACGATAGTTAAAGCTCTTCCTACTTATGGGCGCTGAACGTATCAGTTCATCATACCCGTAAGTTTTGCAAAGCATTCGAAACTTCTGAAATTAAATGTAAGTTAAAAATAAACGCGAGAATAAACGAAAACCTAGTTTTATTCAATCAATAAAAAATATTTTAATTTATATTTGTTGCGTAGACTACTCCAAAGTCAAAGGAGACTGATACGCTTTCATACTTTCTTGGGCCCAAATTGTAAAAAGATGAAAGTGGTGGCAATTAATAGCTTATACAGCTTATATAAGAAAACATCACTGAAAATTCTGCAGATTTTGGCAATCTGAGAGCGAAGTTATTTAGTAAAAGTGAAGTTATGCAACAAGTTGGCAACTACCTATACTAAATAGCTGATTTTCTACCGACTTCTAAAAGGAGGAGGTACTCAACTCGTCTGTATGACTTTTTTTATTTGAAAACTGGTGCTTCTCATGTAGTCCCAAATACATTTGATGGTACGACTTTCCATTTACTCCCATCGAGTTTGGTGTTGATACGTATTTTTACAGAAAGGTTACATTTTTATAAGCACACACACAAAGTTTCAATATACGGAAACACGTATTTTTTGAGAAATAAATTAATAAAAATCACTTATTTTAACAATATTTTGTTGTTTTTTTTTAACTGGCTTTACGGCTCTGGGTTCTAGCTCTTTTGAGCCTACTTTATTACGAATTTCCATTGACATTCGTCGAATTGAGGGGAGAGGGGGGGGGGGGGAGAAGAGGTGTAGGGGGACTAATTCAGAGGGATTTCTGTATATATTTTGAGACTGCAACGTCTCCGGCGCTGCGGGAAGAGCAGCCTCTACGCCTTTGCGTAACAAATCGCAGGCATCCCTCCTCGTCCGATGGCTACGATTTGTTACAGCAGGCGGAGGCTACTCCCCCTACGCGCCTCCAGTTCTATATAACCACTCTAGGGGTAGGACAGACTCGTACCACGTGGAGTCGGGGTCAATAAATTTGGTGCTTTGACATAAGTAGAACCTAACCTATTTTTTTTTAGAAATTCATTTTTTGTGATATCACGACAGCTTACTATTATAATCGATTTAAAAATCTATCTTTTTCGGAAAGAATCGACATCCGTACTGACGACGACAGTGACATTACAAAATGGCGCCAGTTTTACGCTAGGAATGTAATATAAACATTGCAAAAATAATTAATTTTCAAATAATGTTTTTTCTCAAAAAGTACATGTTTCCGCATATTGAAACTTTATGTGTGTGCTTATAATAGTGTAACTTTTATGTAAAAATACGTATCAATCCCCAACTCGATGGGAGTAAATGGAAAGCTAAGCCCATTTGATCAAGGTCTGACCAATAGTTTTTGAGTTATCTTTAATAATATATATTGAAATCGGTTGAACAAAATTTTTAATTTTAAACTATTCAACTCTTTATTTTAATGTACAGGGACTTTTATAGCTCCTGCCTGACTCAATCTATGATCACTCGTCTCATATAGTAGTACGTGAGCGTCATTTTGAGTGTGTTTCTCGTTGTTTTATCTACCGACTTCAAACAGGTGGAGGTACATACTCAATTCGACTGTATGTTTTTTTTATGTGTGTCATAACTTCTTTCTGGGTGAACCGATGTCAATGATTCTTTTTTTATTATTATTATTATTATTTATACTTTATTGTACACCACAAAAAAACGATAAAAAAGAACAAATTACAAGGAGTAAAACTTAAGAGGTAGGTACAATAATAATAATAATAATAATAATAATATTTATTGGCACAAAATAAGGTTTACATTATTAATCCTTAAGACATTTGAACATATGAGTTATAACTTATCTATACAATTTTATGCACTAGCGTCTAAACTAGGCCGAGCCTGTATCTTAGACACTAGTCTCTTCCAATGACACCATTATTTACAGTTATAAAAGTATACGGCATATTGTGATTTACTTAATCTATTACGTTACAAATTCGCAAATACATTAGGTACCACTTTTTTGCGTTTACCGTCACACTAACTTATTATGCGTATGAAAGGTTAGACTACTATTTATAGGAACTTAAATGCAATAACTGATTATTGTTGTCACGAGGCACGATGTATAACTTTAGCAATTCTACAGGTATTTAACAAAAGTTATGCAATGTACAGTTAACAGACATACACATATTATATAATTATTTAATTCATGGTTTTTGCAAAGGTTTTTTTATTTTTTGTTTTAAATTATACTTTCACTTAATTAAATATAGTATTATTAGTAGCTATACAAGTGTAATAATCTTTAATTATTATAATTAGAGTAGTTTTAGTAGATATATATTGTTTTGATGTAATATTATTTTAAAGTGACCAAAAAATTTTCAGTTTCTTCTGTATTTAGAGTTTTTAACCAAGATAATAGTAGTTTTTTACATTGATATTTGTTAAGCGGGTAAATTTGTAGAATTTTATTTATTTTATTGTAAAGCATAGGACCTAAGTAGCATTGAAATTTAGTTATAAAATATGTTTTAAAATGGCCGGTAGGACAAACCTTATCTTTCCGGCGATTAATTGTTAATTCGTGATTATATGTAAGTTTTTCATGTTGGAACATAACAGCGTCTTTAATATATAATTGTCTAACTGTCAATACGTCACATTCTGAATATAGTTTGTCTGTGGAATAGCTAAATGGTTTAAATGTCATTACTTTGAGTAGTGTACGCTGCGCTCTTTCTAATTTTATGAGATGAGTTTTACGAGCTCCACCCCATGAGGTAATACAGTAAGACAAGATAGACTGTGCCAATGATAAGTAAACAGTCTTCAGTAAAGAATAGTCAGTCACGTGTCTTAGTTTTTTGAATATGTATACCAAGCTTCTTGTTTTCCCTGCTAACTGATTGATATGAGGGCACCATGTCAGATTTTCATCCAACACTACGCCTAAATATTTTACTGTGTCACTTCGGTCTAAAGATGTGCAATTGCATTGAATTGAGCTTTTGTTTTTGCAGGTGTGTATTTTGATTTTAAATGTATTTTCAGTAGTAAGTGCTCGTTTATTATTCGCAAACAACATAAATTTTGTTTTAGAGATATTCAGAGTAAGTAAGTTTTGACTGAGCCATTGTAACGTTGCTTGCATTCCTAATTCAGCATGAGTCTTTACTTCATCCCAACTTTTTCCATAGAAGATTAGTGCAGTATCATCAGCGTAAGTAAAAATTTTGCAACTATCTAATTTAAGTTTACATAAATCGTTAAAATAAATTAAAAATAATGTTGGTCCGAGTACACTACCCTGAGGTACACCATAGTTAATAGGAGCATTATTACTAAAATAGCCGTTAATAGTTACCCTCTGGATCCTGTTTTTTAAGTAGTCCTCGAATAAAGCAAGTGCCATCCCTCTGATACCGACTTTTTCCATTTTACTCAACAAAATTGGAATAGATACTGTGTCGAAGGCCTTTGCCAAATCTAAAAACACTCCAATACATTTAACTTTACTATCTATTTGACTAACTACAAAGTCGGTAAGATCAGAAACTGCATCAGCTGTTGAACTACCAGCTCTAAAACCATACTGATTGTTGGATAAGATATTATTTTTTTCTAAATACAATATTAGTCTTTTGTTCAAAATCTTTTCAAAGATTTTGGATAGGGAGGGGAGTACTGAAATAGGGCGGTAATTATTAACGCATTCTCTGTTTCCTCCCTTGTAGATAGGATGAATTATTGATATTTT